GTCAAGGACGTCTTACTCATATAGATATACACGACAATATCTGTTTATTAATTAGCTTACGAGCCAACACGATTATCTTTTGTTCATTTGTTTTTATAATTATCAAACATATTTTTCAACTTACCTGGATGCTTACGGCGATGAACAAAGGTAAGGACGACTTATTCACATTGATATGCAAGGTAATATTCGTTTGTTAATTGGATAACAAAACATTACAATAGCCTTTTATTTCATTTGTTTTCATAATTACCAAATATGTTTTTTTTAGCCCATACGTATGTCCACGGCGATGGATGAAGGTAAGGACGTCTTATTGATAGTGATACACAAGGTAATCTATGTTTCTTAATTAGATAACAAGCCGTCAGAATAATTTTTTATTCATTTGTTTTACAATGGCCAAGCATGTTTTTCAGCTCACATGCAACCGCGTTAAAGGAAGAAAAAAAAGATATTTCTTTTTTTTGCATGGATAGATAAAGCAGTATCTCTTGCTTATTTGTGCATTCAGCCGTGATGTAAGTATATTATACACTCGTTGTTGCGATTGCCTTTTTTTATCTTTTAACTCAATTTCATCAATGTATTGAACTATGAGCATAAAGATAGTTTTCTTTATATTATAGACAATGTATTCAGTGAAAAATATTCCAAAAAAAAAAAAAAATCAGTATTTTTCATTATTGATGTACAAATCTCTTTTTTTTGTGTCTGACGCCTCCACTTTTTTGCGGGATAATCCAATTAACATCGATTAAAAAAATCTAGTCGACCAATTTTTATTAATTATTCCACTAAAAATTTGATCTTCATTAAAAATCTATTTTAATTGTGCGAATAGATTAAAATCTCAGTCAATAAAAATCAAACTGATTAATTTTTAATCAGTTACTAACGATATTTCTAGTTATAATTGGATTTTCATCCAAAGTCGATTTTAATCCTGCTCTAGTGAACAGATCTTGGAAATTTGAGTACGAGATACTCTTGCTGATTTTTTTTTTCATGTGCTAAACGTGTACAGATTTCAATATGTATCTATATCACATGATTTTCTTTCCAATCGGCAAACACTTTTAAGTGCTTGCTTGAGTTATGTGCATATTTCATGCAACTTATACCAATAACCACACATGACATAGTCGATTGCAATAAAATAATAAAATCTTTTCTGCTCAAGATAGCAGAATGCTCTTTGCCATTGAGGCTATCTGAATCTACTTACTTATATAGATTCCTTTTTTTGGCCGGTCTGTTACAGACTTCGTTATTTAAACTGTTAAACTTTGTTATGAGTCATAGTCGTTTTGAGTATAAAACTGAAGAAAAACAAAAGAAAACGAAAAACACAATAGAATATAATTAAAATTAGTTTCATATATTACAGATATCGTTTTTATAGCTTTGAAAAATGACCGAATCTAAGGTAGTATTATTATCGCTAGGTTGCGATGAGGACGAATTTCTATTATTAACCTATGTCGACTGTAAGATACCTGAACTGCAAAATAAAAGAAGAATTTTTTTTTTTCTTTTGTTTGTATATGATTCGATAGAGCGTCACGCCCTAATTAAGTATAACTGTGATTTTTTTGCAATTGATCTTTAAGAGAATAATTTTAGTTTTTTCCAATGATCTACTTTTTTTTTTGAAAAAGAAGTTAATTGTCGATAACCGACAAATTGTCCATTGTTTTTATTTCTCTTAAATTTTAAAAGTGTATGTTTCAGATTCAGTGTGAAAAACTGAAACAAGAAAAGTTATTTATAAATGACTTTTCTAGATTCAATTTTCCATGCTGAATTTGAAACAGATACTTTCGAAATGTAAAAGAAAGAAAAAAATTGACAATTTTTCTATTATCAACAATTGACCTATTTTTCAAAAAAAAAAAAGAAAAAGGTCACCAGGAAAGTTCGAAATTATTCGTCTAAAAACTTATTCCAAAAAAATAAAAACACATACATCTTTGATCAGATCGCGACACTCTATCTAACCATATATAAGTAAAAGAAAAAACTCTGCTTTAATTTTGACTTTCTCACATCTTAATATTTTATTTATGATTATCTTTACACGCACTCGAACAAGGATTCAAGTACGTAAATAAGATTATTAAGCAATAGAACAAGAAGTGAAACCATTTAGGCTCACTAAAATGCCTCAAAATGTTTTCATATCACATAATTTTCTTGCTCAAGATATTCAAGAACTTCATGAGCATAAAAAAAAACGTTCGAGCAAGGTAATTATATTATCTTGTACGAAAATCTGTGAATATATCTTGGGTAAAGATTTTTAAGATCTTGAAGCAATATGTTGTTCTCTAATTTTTATTTAATAGGTAAAGACCTTTATCTGAACATTTACGAAGCGTCGAATTTTGATTAAAAGACATTGTAACAATAAAAAATGATTTAACTCACATGAATATTTTAACAAATTCAAAAAATATATCTAATTTTCATAAACTAATTAGGAGAGATGAAAGAATTCAGTTGAAAAAAAAATTTAATACCAAAAATTCAGTAATTAGCAACAATTTAATTTAACTAGAAATGAAATTTCCTCATTTGAAATAATCGACAGGTAGTGAGTCATAATTATTTATAAATCATGTGAAAAGTAAAAAAAATAATCTAGCTTGGAAACCAAAATCTTTCTTGACTACTCGAGAACTATAACTCTAGAGAGGATGTGGGCTGAGCTAGAAGAAAAGAGACGCACAGTCACACTTTTACTAAAACTTCTATTCTTAAGAAAATTAAAACTTTTAGATTTTCTATATTTTTGAAAACCCGTATTTTTGAGCGTGAGTCTTTTTCTCAAATAAAAAGAGAACATCTATTAGAAACATACTGTAAATTTAGTGGAAACAAATGTTAATCGCATTGTATATAGTTTGAATTTTTTCAGTTTTTTTTGTTATTTGATTTTTAATTCCTATTGAATGGCATGTGCCTTCATTATTGCGAATCTTTTTCATATTTATAAAATTGAAAAATCAGCTGAGAATGTTTTATGCAAATAAATTAAAAGCAGTTTAAAAATTTTCGATTATGTAAATAAGTCAATAATGTTGCTATTACTTTAGGTAAGATCTTGGGAAAAGATATTCAGCATTGTTATTTTTTTTTCTCTGATCTTGACATTATAAATTTTTGGAATAGATCCTTCTAAGATCTTTGGTACACATCAATCTGATACGATTAAGAAATATCAGAACAAATTATCTTTCAAAGGTCTTGACAAGATCTTTCTTACACGATGTTACACTAAGGTATCAAATGATTATTCATCAAAAATCGACTTTAGTCTTGTCAACCGAGTATAAAGCAGTTGATAAATATCAGTAAAGTATATACAGATGCAAGTTATTCGTATGAATAGAAGAGACATGTATGAGTGAGTGTTGTTGATAAGTTCGCATGAGGGAAATAAAGAAAATCTTTACCTTCACTTGCATCATTCTGAACTCGAACCAGAACCCGATCAACGGGAAGTTTTCAGAGCCGAGTCAGTGGATCCGAAAACAATCCGACGACATCTAAGAGACAATAACTGGTACTTAGATGACAAGTGAAACGACCATATCAATTTTTGATATATCTTATAGTGCAAGCAAACATATACTGTCTATTTCCTCTCTATTGCTTTTTTAAAACTACATATCATTGAGAGAAAATCTTCAGAACGTGATAATAAGAGGCTATAGATGCTTTGAATAGTTTATTATTAAGTCTACTCTTATTTTCGTTATATTATCGAATCAAACTATATTTTACAAGTCTAATTGATTCTAATCGATTTTTTCCTGTTGTTTTTTCACATCAGAAAAGTCTCTATTTAGTTTAATTTCATCTTGTCGTTAACAGACAAGTATAACAATAGAAAAAAAATCAATTGAAATTGCGCTCAAGTCAAATATATGAGGATTTTCATCATGACTATTGTGAAATAAAATCTAAATTATATTCGATTATAACTTTGATTTTGTTATACAATAATCGGATTATCAATTTCGATAATACCTATAGAATTTTGAAATTTTTCATTCGAATGCTATTTATTGCTGAAATATGAATCTAGCGGTGAGTGAGGTATTTTTATAAAATTGTTTCTAGTATCACGAATTGTATATTGCAAATAGTCTCGGTACTCGCGTTGACGTAGCAGAGTAGGATAATCTTTTTCTACAGAAATATACAAATTTTCTATGACTCTGTCAACTAGGCATCAACCCATAACAATAATCACTTGGATACTAAGGAGATACTCGTCAAGTTTTATGAAAGATTTTGGAGGTCGAAGAATCCAAATATGTGATAGGCTTCTCGAAATTGCATATTTGATTTCTCAGTCAAGTTTCTCGACCTCAAAGATCTTTGATCAAACTCTATAAAAGGTGATGAGTTCTCGTCAATGAATATTCCTAACAAATGAATCAAATCCACGATTTTTCCGTTAAATTGTTGCCGAATAACTGATAACGAATCGTTACCAGTTACTTGATAGTGTAAGATTGTGGGTGTGAGTGCGGCGCAAACAGAGTGAGTAGCTCTAGATCTTTGTTTAACTCTCGTCCGTATCATACTGGCATCGAAATCTATAGCCAAAACTATAATCACATCCACTAGTATTCACACACCTGAAGTCGAAATGAAAAATAAACGGTTTTATTTGATCCACTCGATATTTACCATACATGATTAACTCGATAAAATATGATTTGATTCATGATCTTAATATCAGATGACATGAACTTTATGAATTATGGGGTGATTTTTTTTTAAATAGAACTTGAAAGAAAGATAAAATACTAATAGAATCAACCATGAAAGTCTAAGATAAACATAGAGTTTGATTTATCATGCAAAAACATAGTTTTTCATCGATTTATCAATAAGCTCGACTGTTGTGCTTGTTTGTTGAGTGTTTGCTTCTAGATCATCTTCAACTTCTATCGTCAAATTTTTCAAAAAGAATAAATTGTAAGATGATGCGTCGTCGTCGTGAATCAAAATTTGAGCGACCAACACGTGCTGATACTATGGGTAGTGCCGTATTCAATTCAAAAGACACGCACAGTATGCATCAGTCATTGAATAGTGAATTCATGTTGTATCAGCTTATTCTGAAACGTATACTAACCGAAAAAAATAAACAGTCAACGACACCAAATGGACTATACGATTATTTCAAGCCCGATGACGAAACTGATCAACGTACTATGAAAGAATTTGATAAGACCTATAAACCAAGCACAGCCATTTATTGGTACACACGTGAAAGTTGTATTTATCGTATGCTCAATAAAGCTTTGCGAACACAAAATATCAACCATTTACTGGGTTTCAGTTCCTTCGTCCGTGATCTATATCAGCAGTTGGCACAAGAGCAAATACCGTTTGTAAGAAAGCTTAAATTCCCAATGCTTCAAGTTTATCGTGGGCAACTTATTAGCAAAGATGAAGTTAATCGAATGAAATCTGGTGTCGGTCAATTGATTGCAATGAATTCATTTTTGTCTACGAGTACAAATCTAAAGAAAGCATTAGAATTCGCTACGGCTAAACCGCCACCTGTCGATACATTAACATCAATTTTACTTGAAATTACGATTTATATTGGATCGTCGACTCGACCATTTGCTGATATAAAACATTTAAGTGCATTTCCTACTGAAGAAGAAATTCTTTTTATGTTCGGTTCTGTTTTTCGTATTGATGATCTTTATGAAGATAAAGAGAAAAAAATTTGGCGAGTAAGATTGACTTTATGCAATAATGATGATGCTGATTATCAAGCATTCATGGAAACATTAACAAAAGATTTAAGCGGTAAAGATGATTTAGTATCACTCGGTCACTACTTGCTTCAAATGGGAAAATTTGACGAAGCCGAATCACATTACCAAATACTACTAGAAAATAATTTAATTACAAATCAATACGATATAGCTACTTGTCATCATGGACTTGCACGAGTGAATGCAAAAAAAGGCGACTATGATTTAGCATTGAGTAATATTGGTACCGCATTAGAATATTTATTGAAACAGAAGAACGACAAAAGTTATTCTCTCATTGCACTATGTTACAATGACTATGGTTCAGTATATAGTAAGAAAGGTAATTATCTATTGGCTTTCGGTTACTATGAAAAAGCATTACTGACAAGATACAACAATATTGCAATAACCTATGCTGGCATTTCTGAAATTCATCTTCTAATGGGTAATTACCATCTAGCATTGGAGTTCCAATATAAACGTCTCGAACAACAAACAAATACAGCACACTCATTGATTGCAAATACATATATTGATATTGGTAAAATTTATTCTCTAATGAGACAACATGAACAAGCCTCGAGCATGTTTAATCAAGCTATTAGAATTCAAATGAGAACACTCTATCCAGGCCATCCTGATATCGGATACACCTATAGCGCTATTGGATTGATGTATTCAGAACTTGGTAATGAAAAGAAAGCTTTTGAATATATTCAAAAAGCATATCAATTACAATTACAATCTTTACCGGACAATCATCCAGATTTTTGTGAGACTTACACAAATTTCGGAAATCTATACTTGAAAAAAGGAGATTCAGATCGAGCATTGGTTTATTTTAAAAAATTACTTGACAGTCAAATTAAGACATTATCATCTAAACATCCGTCAGTTGCTGATACTTACACACTCATCGGAAAAGTTTTCTTAGAAAAATCCGATTACAAACAGGCATTATTCTATTATAAAAAATCACTCGATTGTCAATTGGAGAGAAAACGATTCGGAGATTCATCATTATCGACTATGTACCAAGTCATAGCCGAGATTAACGTGAAAGATCATGATTTAGATCAAGCATTAGAATACTATCATAAACTCTTGGATAATGATCTAGAAAGAAAAGTATTGGAAGATCAATCATTTACTGATACATACAAAATAATCGGAGATATTTATTGTGAAAAAGGTGATTTTCGTCAAGCATTATTCTATTATTATCGATTACTTGATTGTCAATTACAAGCAAGACCATTCAAAGATTTAGCAATAGTCGAGTCATACACAATGATCGGAAAAATCTATATGCAGAAACCATTCGATCAAAGTTTACTTCGTTTCAATCTATCTGTTGATGATCAAATGCAAGCATCTATATCAGAAAATGCATCCTTACTCTACGATCACATTATTGTCGGTGATATTCATTTTGAAAAACGACATTTAGATCAAGCATATACTTATTTTAAACAGTTACTCGAATCTCAACTGAAAAAAACGCCATCTGATCATCAAGCAATAATTGACACTTTGAAAATTCTTGGAAATATTTGTACTGATAAACATGAACTGGAACAATCATTATATTATCTTCATGAATTAATTAAATATGAATTGCTAAGAAAACCAGTCGATGATCCATCATTAGGCAGCACCTATAAGTTCATAGGAAAAGTATATTGTGAAAAAAACTATTTTGAAATGGGATTGAGCTATTACAATCGACTACTTGATTCACAGTTAAAAATGAAACCACTCAACGATGCATTGTTAATCGATTCATATATAATAATCGGAAAAGTTTACTTGGTAAAGCCGTTCAATAAAACATTAGTACTATTCAATGCATTGCTTGGGAATCAAATGCAAGTAAATGGATCGATAGGTACAACATCACCTGACATTCTTCCAATTATGAGTAATGAGTACGATGAACAACGACATCTAGATCGAGTGTTCAATTATTTTCAACAAATGCTCAATAACCAAGAGAAAGCACCACTACCAAGTGACATATCATTAACTGATATATATATAATTCTTGGAAATATTGCCATTGAAAAATATGATTGGAATCAGGCATTACTCTATTATCATAAATTGTTAGAAAAAACACTAGTAGAAAATGCATCGTTAATTAACATCTATAAGATCTTAGGAACTATCTATTATAAAAAAAATGATCTCAATCAATCATTAATCTATTATCATAAAGCTTTGGATACTGAATTAATAGGAAAAATAATTGAGGATCCGTCATTATCGGAGGTTTATAAAATTATGGGAAATATTTTCTATAAAAAACATGATTTACAACAAGCACTCATCCATTATAATCGATTATTGGATTGTCAATATCGAACAAGGCCATTCAAAGATTCATCTGTCGCTGATACATATTCAATGATCGGAAAGATCTACTCGGAGAAACCATACGATAAGACTTTACTCCGTTTTAGTACATTCGTTACTGATGATAAGCGAACACCTTCATCGAACGATACAACCATACTTAACGATCATACTATGATAGCTAATATTCATTTCGAAAAACGGCATGTAGGTGAAGCAATGAAGTATTTTCAAAAAATATACAAGAAGCAGTTAGAAACAGTGCCATCAAATCACCCGTCATTACTCGATTTATATAAAATTCTCGTGAATATTTCTATGGAAAAGAATGAAGTCGATCAAGCATTAAGCTACTTCCACAAGTTACTGAAAATCGAGTACGCGAAAAAACCGGTAGACGACCCATCTTTTATTAGAATCTACAGAGTCATGACACATATTTATTTGCAAAAAAATAATGCTGATAAAGCAGCACATTATGTTAATCGATTGCTTGATTGTCAATTCCAAAAAAAGGAATTAAATCGTTCATCTCTAGCAGACGCATACATGATGATGGGAGAAATTTACTTTAGTCATAGTCATTTGGATCAAACGAAACGTTCTCTCAGTAGATTGTACGAGACTGAACCAGAAAGAATACCATCAATGAATGATGTTTACAATGTTGTTCAAAATGCTTTTATAGAGAGACGTCATTTAGATGGAGCAATAAACTATTTTAAAGAATTGCTTCTTAATAAGCGACAAACATTATCAAAACAGGATCCATCATTAATCAAAATTCAAAAAATTATCAGAAATATGTATTTGAATAAACGTGATTTTCACCAAGCATTAGCATTTTTTCAACAATTACATGATGATCAATTTCGAAGCAATCCTGCAGGAGATTTGGTGTTAGCTGATATCTACGAAATCATTGGAACTATGTATTCTGAGCTTGGCATGCCTACTTTAGCTTTGGAATATTATAGACACTCTTTGTCAATCTACGAGCGAATGGGTACGTCACAGAATGGCGCAATTAAAAAACTGAAGAATGCAATGCGCAAGCTTATCGTATCCGATGAAACACTATAGTGCAAAAGACTTATTTGCTTGTAGATAACACTGCGGTGCCGATATTGGTACCACCCACCGTTTATCTTCCATTTCTCTTTATCCTCTTTCTATTGCTCGTTCCTGTGCTCATTCTTATCTTGCTCTATCCTATACAAGCACATATTTTAATGAAAGTACTTGCCATCTATAGATATGAAGTAGCGCTCAATAAATATCATTACCGAGGGTGGCGGTAAGCTACTTCTCCAGTCTCTCGTTACAATTGCAGTTCTGTTTTTTTTAGGGCTTTGAGTAACATGAGACCAAAATGCGATATATAAAACACTGAAAAAAAGTGAAGTTGCTGACTTGGTACTACCCTATGTTCATTGAATAAGATCGCTGAAGGCAACAAGTTCTGGAGATATTTGAACTAGAACTTGATATTTGCATACAATATATTAAGTCTTAGGCAAAAGCATACAAATATAGTATTAGAAATGTTCTTTGGTAGTAATCAGGCTGCAAAAAAGTGGGAACGAGCTGGAGAAGCTGTAGGGGAGTTTACATCTTCTCAATAAATGAAAATTATGCAATTTGAAACAGTGAAAAGAAATGAAATGAATGAGCAACTTATTTAGTGTAATCACACAATTACATAGATTACTACATATAATACACTAATGTCCGCGCCAGAATAAAAGAGGGGTGAGTGTAAGCTCAATAACTCGACAACCGCAATACCTAGCTACCTGCGGTTTTCACCAATCGAAAGAGGAGGAGCGGGCACGTCTTTTTCCTCGATAATGTATAAGACGAAATTCTTTTAAAACTAATGATATTTGAAAAACATGCAAAACAANCTAATTTTTTTCGCAAACTCCGAGTGCAAATTTTTTCTGATAAAATTTCATCATTTGGACTCAACATCACCCTCTATGAGTTTCATTTGGGTCCCATGCTCAAAAGTCAAGATTCAGCATACTGAAAAATCCTGGATACGTCACTGATGTCTAGTTAATTTTACTCAGAAAAAACAATCTATAAATTATTGTAATAGGCTAAGAATATGAAGCTATTAATGTTGTAGAAAAACTAATGCAGTTCATAAAGACAATAAAAGATATGTGACTATTTTAGTATCTGTCATTGTTCTTGACCAAGTTTCAGTCATGACTTTTATAAAAATATTGACCACAGTCATGATTATAACTGTGATTGATTGCTTGATCTAAGATTATGAGTATGTGGAACCTATGCCGTGAGTGTCTTGGTACAAAATTTTCATTAATTTAAAAATTGCGAAAATTTCTAATTCTGAGGAAAGAAAAACTTAATTAAAAATTATTTGCTTACTTTAATATGTTCACTGAGTTTAAGAAAAGCATCAATTCTTTCTCTTGGATGTCCAATACGTTCAAGTACTTCAACTGCTTGTGGAAATAATTGTTCATTATAGGACCTTTAAATAATAAATAAGATTTTTTTTGTTTTTTCTTTTTTATCTAATGTATTTTCTTACATTCCATCATTACAAACAGCAGTACAAAATTCATCATGTTCAGAAAAATTTAAATAAATATCTGTTACTTTTGCAACAAGTTTTTGTGGTTCAAATTGATATTCATTCAGATTTCGTACTTTTAAATTTCGTCTTTTAGGTCCAACCTATAAAGTATTAAATAAAAATAACAATATAAATAAGGAAACAACGAACCAAATGTTGAAGAAAATAATTAACCATTAAAGCAAGTCGTTCACAAATAGCTGGTCGACAAAATATTGATTGAATACTTCGTGTTATCATATCAAGAATAATCAACTAAAACAATAAAAAAAGGAAAAAGAATGTCTTTTTATCAAAAAAGCAAAAAAAAATATTTCATTCTATTCACTGTTTTAAGACCCATAATATTTGTATAACGAGCTGTTTGACCTGTATGTCGAAATGTATTTTCTAGATCTCGTCTTTGTTCTTGAGGCATACTATCCCATTCACCACGATCCATTGCTTCTTGATTTTCTTTTAAACGAGCCATTTGCTAAATAAAATAAAATATAAAGGAGACAGAGTTGTTGTTAATCAATGAAATCGATCTCTTTCGAAATTGAATTTATTATTTTTCCAAAAGTTAAATTCACATATCAGAAGTCGATTGTCTTTCAATATAGAATCTTAGACTTTATTCCGATTGTAATGAAAAGTTTTCTTCTATCGAATGGACATATAGAAGTATAATAAAATATTGTTATTTTCCTTTACAATATTGTTCACTTGTATTACAGTATGAGGACATTCTGAATAAAATTCCTTCACTATTGAACTTTACAAAGCAGCGATCTACTTTGAATTGAATGTCGAAAAGAAGCCGATTTCATTATTTAAGAACTCTCTTGTTTTATAAATAATTACAGATAAAGCTTCATCTAATAAAAAATTTGCATCATTCATAAGTAAATTAATAAAACGTAAGAAAAGTGGAGCTTCAGCATCATCAATATGTTCTTCAGCATAGGCTGCAAGTTTCTAGAAGGAAAAAAAAAATATATAGAAAATGATAAATTATATTTTAACAAAAACTGAATAACTAACTTTGACTTGTTCTCGATGTTTATCAAATTTCCAAAGATATTCTAATATTTCATACATTGGACGACGATAATTAAATTTTTGTTCAAATGCTACTGCTTGACCAGTTAATTCAATTGATACAAATACATCAAGAAGAACACGTGGTAAATGTTCAATTAAAGGATGATGAGTAAAAATAGCTTCAGCAAATGCACTAATAACATTAAAAATAAAATGAATTTGAAAAAAAAAACAAACAAATTAATTAAATGATTAAATTAACCTATTTAATGTTCGACCACCACCATGTTGTTTATTTGGTAAAATAGCTTCAAATGCTTCAGCTAATGCAGCACGTAAATGAGGATTACGTAAACGACTTGCATCACCCATAAATACAAGAACGAGAGTAACATATTCATTAACAGATGAGAGAGACTTTTTAAAATATTAAAAATTTATTTATTAGAAAAAGAAAACAAATAAAATTACTTCGAATAATTGTACATTAAATCGACCAAGAAAAACAAGATAATCTGTTATATTTTCCATGATAAATTCAGGAATATAACTTAATTGTCGATGTGATTTTGATGTTAATGGTAATTGTTTAATCATCTGTATTACTTCTTCATTTTCTACTTGATTAGATAACGATGCAAGATGAACAAGCCATGAACAACTTGCAGTAAATAATGCATTCGATAATTCAAGTAAACAAGGTTCATTAAGCACAGTTTTTATATTAAGAAAAGCAGTAAGACCTTGAATAGAAAAAAAACCAAAGTATGAGAATATTGATTTTTTTTTATCATCGTTCTAAATCTGATTTTCTTCGAATTATAAATAAAAAATTTCTTCCTTCTATAAGTTTTTTATACGATCACTTCTGTTTCTTGTAAATATGTTTTTTCTTAGTGATAAACAGAGTTTTCTAAACTAAAAGATTTTTTTCTTCTTCTAGTATTCAACATTCTATGAATTATATATAGTTAGACAAGAAGATAAAATGTTTCTGATGTTACCAATCAACATACGAAATATTTTTCTATGGNGGGGGGAGTGTCAAAGAAAAAATCCTTCTTCACATTTTTTCGAAAAAAATTATTTGATTAGAAAATATTTTGTGTCATACATTATTCGATATAGTTTCGGATGCTAATTCTGAGTATGGTCATTGTTGTGCTATGAAAATCTTTCAAGATTGAAAAAGTGTAGGAATTGTCTGGAAAATTATGTTTTCTTGAAAATACTTTCGCTTGTTTTTTTTTTTTGTAAGTATTTATTAGATCAAATTTAGATTTCTTTTTACGAGTCGATAGAGAACACTGAAGAAATAACTCTGATTATGTGCCATATTTGCCTATTCATCGGCTGAATCTTACACAAAAACTTAATTTCTTGAACGATAGATGTGTTTTCTAACTGAGTTTTGATTGATGGATGTTTTAATCTATTTGATATTTGTAATAGAAAATTTTATTCGTTTCTTCATCTAATGTCCACCCGAATGCATAGTGAATAAGTGAGGAAGAATTCAAATTTTAATTCCTATACTTCAACATTCGTTTTAGATTATGTTTCAAAAAAATCGATTTGTTATGTACATATTATCAATCATACCGAATTATTGGAGTTTGCTGATAATTGCCAAACATTTCATTTTCATTTGATAATGTTCTCATTTTTTGATTTCGACCAAAATCAATTTGTTCGGAAAATGGTCGACGTTGTTGTCTTTCTGATGTTGGTGATAACCATGAAATCGATTCTGTATGTTGTTTTGATGCCGAAGGCGTATTATTTATAGCAACTAAAACATAAAAATTCAATTAAATTTTTTTTTTGTTTTTGTTTTTCTACTTGACTCACTAGGAGATTGATTAAAAAATGCAGGATAAACAACAAAATTATTAACTTGATGAATTGGTGCTGAAAGATGATAATGTTTATTAAGAAATGCTAAACATTTATTCGATGGACGATCAATAGCTAATTCATAAGGAGCACATTTTTCAAACTAAAAATAAAAATAAATAAACAAAAAACTAAAACAAATTTTTCTTTAATTTACTTCAAGCATAGTATCAAATAATCGTTTACCATAACCTAATCTTTGTTTACTTTCATGAACATAAAAATCCAATACACATAATGGAGTTCGTTCATATACTGTACCATTTGTATCATAAATATATAAATGTTTTGCACCAACTTTGAGTATACCAATAACAATACTTAAATTACTGAATAACAAAAAATATAAAATGAAATAAATATATAATTTCATACTTATTCTCATTTGCTTTTTTAATAATATATAAACGATGATCAGATACACGAAATTTACGTGTAGTTGTTACTGCACCAGATAATCCTTGAGCCTATATAGATTAGAAATCAATATATAAATAATTTATTTTATTATTCATAATTTTATTTACTCTATATGAAGCTTCGCCCATAGCATCAATAACGGATGTTAATTTTTCAGAAGTACTGTAAAAATAAATAATTATGATTAAAATTTAATATGATATTCAAGTACGTACAATATTCGAGTTGTTTGTCCTTTATTAAGAACTCGATAATCTCCATTGAATATTGTTATTTCATAAGGTAATATATAATTTATGTCAAATGGAAATTCCATCTTGATTTATTCGTCTTCTTTCTACTCTATTATTACTGATACTACACGACTATTTGAAGCCATTACGCTAGTCATTTTTCCGGGCAACATCCTCTTTTTTCGTTCTCTTTGCTTTCTGTCCAATAAAATGAAAGAGTATCAATTTTTAAAAAAAATGCATTTTATTAACTTTTCAATCATATGACAAGAGTGTAAGAATAATATAGTTTATAAAATTTTGTTTGTATTGTGAGCTAATCATAACAAGTGAAAGAATCCATAGTTTACAAGAAAAAAAAAATAATAAATATTTGACAGATCACAAAGGTTTATTCAGCAAGTATTCATGAGTGGTAAAAATCTTTTTATATTTGTCGAATGCATTTCGCCTTGTTCTGATTCATCTATTGAATTATCATTTGTAGTTAATAAATCAAAAATAAATGTATCCGAAAAATACTAAAATATCATATAAAGTAAAAACATATTGAAATAATTAAATTACCGATATAGTTTTATCATCAGTACACGTTATATTTTTATCGTATGATGTCGTATTGTTGGCCATTGTCGAATACTAAATAATACAAAAAAATTTTGACATTAATGATAATCTAAGAAAAAAAAGTAGTAGTAAGTCAAAGATTTATGTTTTACAAGAATTTTCATTTGAAATACTTAATATGAAAATCTTTATAGTAGTTGTTCTTCATTAACTATAAATTAGTTTTATAGTATATAGATTAACATAAATTCGAGATATTGATTTTTAAAAAAAAAATTACCTTGCTAAGAGATGTTCTGTTAGAAAATTAAATAACGAAACTAATAAAGGAAGGTCTGCAAATGATAAATCGCTTTTCAGTTTGGACTATATTCAATCAATAGAGTCTAGTTATTAGATAAATACAGTAGAGTAGTTCTCACTGTCAGAGCTTTGTTGTTGAGATATCGAATTTTTTTTTTTATAGATATTTCTTGTAGGGTCTCAGCTTTCAAGTATACTCATACTTTTTGAATTTTGGCCTAAAACTTCGCCTATGAAAAAGCTCCGATTATATTAGTTTATAGAAATCTAAATTATTCCCGATTATCTTATGATAAAAATTATCTACAATACATTTTTCGAATTATCTATTTGAGTTTTTAAGGTAGTATCTGTAATTGAAACAAGACCAAGTTCAATAGCTTGTGTTAATAAATAAGATTTTTTTGTTTTTTTATGTCGAATAAATCCATTTGATGTTAATTCACATTCATCAATAATATTTATTGTATTTCGAAATTCACTTAAACTATTTATAATATTTGTTAATGATGAAAATAGATAATCATATTCAAAATCTTGTTTTTCATTGACATAATTAATTGATTTTGATTCATTTGTATTTGTTTGTAATTGACCAATAATAAAACCACGAGAAAATGCTTCATGTATTTCCATTGATAAATTTTCACATGTATATAATAATAATTCTAGATTTAAATAACCTTTATCAATTGCTTGTTGACATGAAATCATACATTGATGAATTTGATCATAAACTTGATGAATAATTAAATTTGTTATAATTGGATATTGTTTTGAATGATATTCAATTTCAATTTGATCATTTTTTGAATATTGTATAAAACCTTTATTTGCTGCAATATGCTAAAAAATGAAATTATTAAAAAAAGAAAAAACAAGAAAGTTCAATAATTAAAAAAAAAACATACCAATGGGATTAATCCACCATAACTAAAAGAAAAAAAAAATAATTAAAAAGAAAAACTTAAATGAAATAAAATATCTCCTTTACCGATTTCGATAATAACCATTAAAAATAATTCCAAGATCTTTCGCAAGTTGTTCATCAATAAACATTCGAGTAAATGGATTAAGTACATTTTTAATTTCTAATTCTTTAGATTTATTTCGATTTAATTTAACTAATTTATCTGTATCATCAAATAGATTATTCATCTTTTATTTTTTTACGAAAAAAAGAAAACAATTCACAATAATTGCCGCCATTCGCGCATCAATATTATTAATTTAATCATCATGACTCTCAATTATAATGCTGTTCCATTCGAAATGAATCAATATCAAACATATATTAATTCAAATTATGGAAATGGATATATTCCACAACAATATGTAATAAAAGTAAATTAATTAACAAATAAATGAATATGTTGTTGTTTTTTTTTTCTGTTTATAGAACAATGGAATTATTTTAACAACACCAAAACCTGATTGGAATCAAATGATTTTATCAAATTTTGAACGAAATTTTTATATTGAATCACCAATCGTACAAAATCGATCTATGGTAAAAGATATTTTTAACATATGTATAATTCTAGAGAATAGATAAATATAAGATTCTAATTATTCTTCTATTCCTTTTTCATTCTAGTGTACTTTGTTTTTAATGATGAAAAAAAAAAAAAAAATTATTAATAATTTACACAGATTTTTATAGCTATTGAATCGCTCTATCTACAGCAATTTAAGTGAAAACGAATTCAAAAAAACTTTGTGTACAGTTCATCATTTATGCAAAAAAAAAAGAAATATGTTAATAATAGTAGAAATTTTGCAATGATTTAAAATTTATACTTAAGCTGCATATGTCTAGAAACATAGTCTGAATATTTCAGGTTATAATACTGTTTTTCTATTGAATTTTTGTAGAAAAAAAATCAAATTCTGAAAAATATGATTTTATTTTGGAATGGATATTATATTCAATATCGATTTCATCGTTATACATCTTAAGTATTTTCAAATGAATCTTCAGAGTAAAAGCTAACTTATGATCCATCTATATTTTACTAGGAAACAATTCGCTAAATGCTATTGCTAAGGAATCACTTATTGACTAATGAAACATACTAATTTACTTATTAGTTCAGACTTAAAATCTGTTTGAATTATTAGAAAAAAAAAAGAAAACGAATATTATTTTTCTTTTTTATTTATCTAAGAAAATAATTTTTTTTTTTTTCTCTAAAACTCTTAGACTGATATTCAAAATTTTTTAACAAACAATCAAATAACAATTGATGGTAATGCTCCACGACCATTATTTAATTTTGATGAAGCTAATTTTCCTGGTAAAATTTTTGCATAATTATTTTCAAAAACAAAAAAAAACAAAAAAATTAATTTAGAACCAGTCATGGAAACAATAGTTCAATGTGGTTTTCAAAAACCAACACTTATTCAATCATGTTCTTGGCCAATATTATTATCTGGTCTTGATCTAATTGGTATTGCATTAACTGGTTCAGGAAAAACATTAGCATTTATTTTACCAGCATTAATTCATGCTAGTCATCAAGAATTTGTTAAACCAGGTGATAGTCCTATTGTTCTTATTATGGCACCAACACGTGAATTAGTACAACAAATTTATACAGTTGCTCATCAATTTGGACAATTAGCACAATGTAGAACAACAGTTATTTTTGGTGGAGTTTCAAAAGAACCCCAACGAAATTCATTATTAAATGGTTAGTAAAAGAGAAATCTAGTGGGCATAACTTGTAAGGATTCAATAGAGTCCGTTGATTCTTATATTTTCGGACTCAATTGAACTGCTCGAAAGACAATTCTCGGCTTTATGTATTCGGTGACTATTGTACTTTACAGATTGTATCAAATAACTAGATCCCATTAGGTTCGGGACTAACCCGACGGGTTCTAGAGCTCATTCCGCGTAGAAGAATTACTAGAGGATCTCTGGAGGCCGAACTATTTCCTACAACTTTATTCTGGTAATGCCACTAGAGAAAAGAAGTGTTTGTATTAGAAAGAATGCATTGTTTTTTTTTTTTTTTTGAATAGGTGTTGAAGTGGTCATTGGCACACCCGGTCGTTTGTTGGATTTTATCGAAGAAGGTGTTTTAAAACTCGATCGAATAACTTATCTTGTTTTAGATGAAGCCGATCGGTATATGATGAAAATTAACTTCTTATCACTCTTTTTTTTTTTGTATATATTTATTTTATTCAGTATGCTTGATATGGGTTTTGAACCACAAATTCGTCAGATATGTGAACGTATACGTGTATATAGATGATTTGTTTTTTCTTTGATTTATTTAATAAAATAATTTTTGATTTTTAGTCAGATCGTCAAACAACTATGTTTAGTGCAACATGGCCAAAAGGAGTTCGTCAATTAGCTAATCAATTTTTATCAACAAAACGTATTCATGTTACAATTGGAAATATTATCTTAGCAGCAAATCCAAGTATTTGTCAGATAATTGAAGTTTGTACAGAATCACAAAAACAAAATCGGTATATTTAATTCGTAAAAAAAAATCATTTAATTTTATATTTATTTATAAAAATAGATTTATAGAAATACTTCGTGAAATAATGAAATTACAAAATGGTAAAACACTTGTTTTTTGTCAAACTAAACGACGTGTTAATGAAATTTATCTTATAACTAAACAAATGGGTTTTCCTGTTGTAAGTTTTTTTTTTTTCTTTTTATTAAACAATGAGTTGAGAATACGAAAACGAATAAAATACCGAAACAAGTTCATTAAGTGTTTAGTTAAGTAATTCTTCGGATCTGATATCATGTGATTTTTAGTTCTTCAACTTAATCAAACAAAATCTAAGCGATCAAATTGTTGCATTGGACTGTAATAAAGAAGATTATTTAAAAAAAAAAGTTCAATAAATGGATTCAGCGAATACAATTGAGTGGTAATACCCTGAACGATTATTTCAAATATTTGATAAAATAGAGACTTGATGAACTAGTTTCTGTATTTCTCTTTTGTTTTTGTTCTACCATCACAATTATTCTATGCCGTAATACGTGTAGATGGCTAGGTATTAGAGGAGACAAAGAATCAGGGCTGGCCCGAGTCAGCAAACATTGCGGGGTTGTCGCGATTTTTTGGGGGGCTGTTTCGGATATTTTTAATGCGAATAAAACTTTTTTCTAACACTACTCACGAAAAAAAATTCATTTTTGCCGGGTAAAAACGAAAATTTTCGATTATTGGGGGGTTGTCACAACCCCCAAAACGCCCTATCGGGCCAGCCCTGCAAAGAATGGAGAATACTTCTTCTTTTCAATTACCTTCCGGTATGAAATACTATTTAGAAGAAGATTTAATAGTCCGATATCTTTCCTACAACTCAGACTAGCTGTAGCTATGAACAGAAAGTCAATCTGACACAAACACTATTGGACGGGTGAGCCAAGACAAATAACTGTTAGTGAATTGTTTAACATCATTCCATGACTGGGGGTGATATTGAATTTTGCATAGTCTCTTCTGGATACTTATCGAACAATGTAGCCACTCACAAAGGAAGTCTCTCAACTGATAAATTGCTTTCGAATCGAGATGATATGCATTATCTAGGTCTCAATGAACCATTTCGTTAACTTAGACTATTACTACGAAGGCATGCATTTTACAGTATTTTTTCAAATAAATACCGTGGACTTCTGAAAAACATTAGAAAAATTTGGTTTTCGAATTTTGCATATTAACAAGCCTTGACGAGAATAGTTTATTGTGAAAGTTTCCGATAGCTTTTTAGGATAAAAATTAAAATATCTTCGTCAATATTTTTGTTTTATATGTCCTAAGTAGATAAGACATAATTTTCTATTCAGCTTTGTATTCATGGTGATAAACAACAATCACAACGTGATTATACTATGAATGAATTTCGTCGACGACAAAAAATTATTTTAATTGCAACAGATGTTGCTGCTCGTGGTCTTGATGTTCAAGACATTCACTTTGTTGTCAATATTGATGTAAGAAATAAATACATATATATATATATTATATTTTTGTTTTGTTTTTTTGATATAATTATATTATATTAGTTTCCAAATCAAACTGAAGATTATGTACATCGTATTGGTCGAACAGGACGTAATCAAGAAGCATTTGGAACTTCGTATATATTTTATTTAACTTCTTTTTTTTTTTCTAATCATGTCTGAAATATATATTTTTGTTAGATATACATTTTTTACATCTGAAAATGCTAAACAAGCACCAAGTCTTGTTCGAGTTTTACAAGAAGCTGGACAAAATGTTAATCAAGATTTAATGCAATTAGCTGAAGAACAACATTCTATAACTAATTCAAAACATGGTAAGTAGAAGAGAAAAATTATTTTTCCTCATTAGTTTTCATGTCTTTAGGATCGAAAACTCAAATATATAATAATAATAATCAACAACGAATGTCGTGTCAACAACAACAGCAAAAACAATCAACAAATAATTTTCATTCTTATCGTAAATATTTTATTTTTGATTTAATTAAAAAAAAAAAACATCTCTTTCAATGAATTTTTTTTCTAGCATTTCATCAATCGGTTGAATATGTTCCATCAATACCACAATCAATGAACTATATTCCATCTATTATTTACAACCAATTTTAGAGTTTGTTTTTTTGTTTTTTTCGTTTTTATACAGTGAATAATAAAAAAAAAAAACAAGCATTCAGATCAAAGAAAAAAGATAGAAAAATAAAAAGTAAATGGTTTTTTTTTTTTTGTTTGTCTATTTAATGGTTTTCTTTTGTATTTGTTTGTATGCTTTTTTTTCATTCTCTGTTATATATATATATATACTAGGACCATATCAACATGTGTGAAATAAAAAGAAATGATATTAAAAAAAAAAAGATTCAAAAGATTTTTCATTCTCTTATATTAGCTTTATATTATCATGTTGGTCGAACAAAACCATATAATGATTTCAAGCATTAATAATTATTAAACTCCTTGAAATAGCTAATATATCTATCTATCTATAGAGATAAGAATGTTTGCTTTTATCTTTGACATTTAGAGAAATAGTATTGTGTGTTTGTTGTAGTTAGAGTCTGTCGGTACCCAGATCGCAATTGTACTTCGAATTTGACTGAAAACTTTTACAATATGATTCGTTGAGTCGATCTCGGTTAACAAG